CACACCAAACTTACATTCTTCCCATGGCGAGTGGTCAACTAACGAATGTATGTATGTATTAAAACCAGTGTTTAATTAAATCAACTCGCATATAAATAAAACATCACAGCACCAAAACATTATTAGCAATACTTGTCATTCCAAACCTTTTGAATTTCTCTAATCCATCTGTTGACACCGTTCTGAAGCTGATTCAAGAAAGTTGAATCCTCAACTTTGTCACCAAAATCTTGTACTTTAGGCCTTCCTCCTTCTTCTGCACACTTCTTCACCATTGCAGTCACCACAGGGTGAATGGCCAAAGAGATCTCTGGGATATCAATATTCTGCTGCAGATGAAGCAGCCCCATTTCCAACTCAGCAATTTTCTTCTCCACAGAAGGAACCATTTTATCTCCATCTCTGTGAGAAAGTATCAAGGCTGACATTTAATGATGTTGAGAATACAGGATAATTCATTCCTTTAGAGAAAGGCTGCTTGATTCAGAGGGACTGTCTGTTTAATCACTAGACAGCTCATAGTAGCTCTTCGAAATTTTGCATCATCATCAAGCACTTGAGGTTAATCCTAAACTCCCAAGAACTGATTCTAAATTCTTCTCTCTAGCTGTTACACATTTCCTTGTATAAAGTTACGAGAATTTGGCATTAGATCAAGGTGACAACTTCTACCAGATACATTTGAGTATTCTCATCATCTATTTGCTGGATAATGTATGGATTTTAAAGGAAGAAGTTAAAAATTAATCATTTCTGGAAGGTAATGAGTTAACTATTTTTAAATAGAAATCATGCACTTGTCATGATCAAACCCCTATACCCCACAACCTGCATCTACATATATCAATATGGCTTTATCCAATATCGTACATGTTAACTTAGTCATTTGTGTAGTTCCAGAACAGAAGGAAAGGGAAGGTTAACCAAAAGTCTAAATTTCGAAAAAGATAGAAAAAACAGGAATTTCTGAGAAAGTGGGGTTATACTTAGTTAAGTTAGTGCCAACACAGCCAAGATCTACATATCAATTTATCATACTGTAAGTTGTACATTTCCAATGACTTTAGCTCAGAGAATTTAGTGCTGATACAAACACTATAGCCCTACATGATACACTTCACTGATTGGTATTAATTGAGATTGTAAGATGAAGTCCTCTTTGGCCACTTGTGGAAGTGAAAGTAAAAACTGTTTTGGGTACTACAGAATCTTTTTATGAATGTTGTTCTCTGAGTTACCACAGGAGAGCAATATTAATCCACATTGTATGTACTATGATTCGTATATTCGGATCTTGCAATTTTTCTCAAGATAAGTTCACAGATCAGAGACAGCAAGTCAAAAATTTGAAAAGGGTTTATTTAAGCCTGTGAAAAACGGCAAAAAACTTAAATTGATTTTCTTTGCCCATGCCAGACATTAAAGTGAATATGTAGACATTTCAAATAAATTTGCATATTAACTAGTAAACACTGTTCTTCAACACACCCAAATTCACAAAAGCCGCGATCCCAGAAAAAATGTATTTTTCGGTAATATTCTTTATCATTATTACACACGAAATAATGCATCCGATTAAAATAAAGATCACAAAAGCTAAAATTTAAGCTTTGCTATACCTGTCCGCCTTTCCAGATTTTCTGACAAATGACTTGAAATATGGCGCCACAGCATTGCTGATATACGAATGAAGAGTCTCGTAAGGCGAGCCTTCGTTTAGATTTATCACACGAATCTGTGTTGTGATCTTCTTGTCGGCATCAACAATCGCCCCTCGTTTGATAAAGGCCACACTCGTAAGCTTTGGAGCTGTGTAATGGACATCCAAGTCTAGCGAATAAATCGCTTTTTCACGCTCGTTTTCTGCGCCGCTTTCGGTGGACGAGGTCTCATCGTTTTCTTCTTCGTCTTTCAGTGGTGTTCGCTGAACAAGAAGACTTCTCGTTTGGGCATCAGAGAGAAATTTCCTGATGTAGTCGACATGTAAGGCATCTTTAAGAGCTGTGTCGAGCTCGAGAGGTACTTCAGGGTCGCCTTCGAGAAGGAGCGGTACAATTCGACGAAGATAACTTGTGAAACTCTTCACATCAACAACAGCAGCTTCTGGAGTGGTCGGGGAGCTAGGTGCTCCATCCGAAGCCGCCTCCATTACGGGCAAATTTTCACTAGAATTCTTTCTGCGACCGAAGATATTCGCAATGTATTTATCACCGGTAATTCGACTTCTTTTATATTTCCACGTTGATCAAGGTCACGTGTTTACGAAACCTTATACTTTGGGGTGAGGTGGGAGATAACTGTTTGGACAAGGAAAAGAAAAGAAGGTAGAGATGAAAATATGTGAGCACACCCAAGATATAGATATCAATTAGCTGTCGCATTCCCCATATGCTACTTATGATTTTAGATCTGAGTTTCGCGCATTTTATCCTTGTTGATATTTTTATTTCTTCTTGTTACCTTTCTGCTGAAAAAATGTAAGGAAATTGTGAGGAGAAATTCATTGTTGGTCACTCTTGAGAGTGAAAGGGCTAACTAAGCCAGGTAGCAATTCTACATACAGTAATAACTCCCGATCAAGCAAGATTTTTCTTCAACTCATTAATCCTCAGCCCATTAGTAACTGAACATTGTTGCCAAAGTTTTAGCTGGTCAAACCACCTTTACTCTCATTTTTGAGATTTACAGATTGTAGCAATTTCCACCTTCTCTTTCTGTTGGTCAAGTGAGAAAATCAAATCTGCTTCAACCTAGTCAGGCTGTTAATCAGTGACTAGTTAAAAGGCTCGAGGGTGAAAAGCAGCAAGGTATGGGAAGCACCAATTTCTCTCCCATGCAATTTTTCCCAATAATCCTTTCTTTCTCAACCACCCACTTTTATAATCCTCTGTATTGACAGAGAGCTCAAAGGAGGCCTGATATGAATTAGAAATCCTGCTATTTTTTTTTCTGAACTTAACAAAGCAAAAACTTAAATTACTACTGAATTCACAGAATAACTTAAAGCAAAATTGATACATTATTTTTATTCTCCACAAAAAGGAGCTTTGACATGATAGTTTTGTGGTTGTGATTTTTGTCACTTTTTTTTTTCTGAACTTAACACAGCAAAAACTTAAATTACTACTGAATTCACAGAATCACTTGAAGCAAAACTGATACATTTCATTCTCAGAAAAAAGGAGCTTTGACATAATGGTTTTATGGTTGTGATTTTTGTCACTTTTTTTTCTGAACTTAACAAAGCAAAAACTTAAATTACTACTGAATTCACAGAATCACTTAAAGCAAAATTGATAAATTTTATTCTCCGAAAAAAGGAGCTCTGACATGATGGTTTTGTGGTTGTGATTTTTGTCACTTTTTTACAGACTGACTGACCTAAATAGTGGAGTGAGTTTTCTGGGCTGGTCAGAGAGTAGTAAAACAAATACAAAATAATTGCAGATTACTATCAACAACAAATTACATTTTGCTGTATTCTCAGTTACAGTGATGTTTCCATATGAAAAGGACCAACAAGAATTTTGGAACTTTGTACAATATTTACAGAGAAGTTTAATTTGATAAAGTTATTTCAAGCAAAGTATAATACACATATTCAGACTGCTTTCTCGTTATGACTTGACACGCATCCATTTTTCCACTTTATCCAATAAGGTCCAGTTTCTTCCTGCGTTCTGATCAACTCCTTCACCTCACAAACCACAGGATGACATGTAAGAAGTTCAAATTGATTGCACCAATGGTTGTGATACATGTCTACTGGTTGGCACTTTCACATGCATCGATCCAGTCACTGTATACATCAACTGGTTCCGAAAGATCTTAAAGTCATTAAGGAAAGGCGATCTGTGTGATTTGGAAATCACTGGAAGTCACAGTACAAATAAATAAAACAAGTAATTAAATGTTCATAAAGTTCACTTTAGATTAATGAGATATTTACGAAAATATATTTAAAAATTAAAAACCAAAAATTCACAACACTAGGTCTGACACTAAGACGATGACCTAGTTTCAAAAACATTTCAATGGTTTTTACTTAAAAACATATCTTTGCCTTGTAAAATAGCTCATTCTTAAATAATTAAATTTAAAACTAATACAGCAGAATCTTTGCTGAGGAGAAAACCTCTGGGCCAAGATACCAAGACCAGTAACTCCCTTCAATGGAGGTGGGTAACCTTTTTAGTCTCCAGGCCCTGGTTGTTTGAAGGCTGGGTAATGCTATACACTGGATAAATCTCTATCCGGTGGATAGCGCTGTATGTTTTGGTAACACTAATCTGCTGGATAATGATTTATCTGTTGGTTAGCGTTATCCGCCCTTTGAACAACCGGGGCCTGGTCTCAAAAAACACTTCTCTTGACTCTCTGCTATACATTTCCAATGATGGGCTGTGCTCAAGCAAGTTCCTCTCATTTGATTTTTTTTTCCCTAACACTTGGCTATGATGGTTCTGTTTCAAAAAAGAAGCACTGTCTGATCATTTTTCTCACAATGTGGTCACTTTGGATAGATATTGCAGGGCTCGACACTAACTTTTCAACTTACTAGCCAAGTGGCTGGCGACAACTTACATGTCACAACAATTTCAGTTTGTTTACTAGCCAAATTGGCTCGTAGAAATCGAAAACCACTAACCAAAACTGCATTTCTACTAGTCTGTGGCTAGTTGGCTACCATTAGTGTCAAGCCCTGAGATTGTGACCTTTCCATTACCTTCTGCGGGTGTTCTTTATTGGCTGAAGAAGACTAGCAGTATGCAGTTGAAATGTCTCATCTACATCTCAAGTAATCACACTGTGAGACAAAGAATTTATACTTCTTTCTTTTAAAAGTGTTATTTACCATGGTGACAAACCACAACCTATTTCAAAATGGTTCTGTTTTATAAATGTTACCGTAATTATGTATGACAAGGATACAAGTAATGGATGTCTGAAAGTCTTCCAAACAAACTCGACAGGATATATGTCCAGTATTCCTAACCCGATCCCTAAAAGAAACACACACACACAAAAAAAAAACCTTTAACACACTTGTAACATAATTAACTAAACCATTGACTGGGAAACAAGAGAAGAAATATTAAGGAAATATTAGTACTCCTCACTAAGGTGCATACCTGTCAACCTCCAGAGTAAAAAAATCTGGAGACGTCTAGAAATTTTTGCACTGTAAGAATTTCATTTTAGACATGTTCAAATACTCTCCGAAAATCATCTGAAGGCCTTCCCAATGTTCCTCACAACTCTCGTTTAGAATAGCATTTACCTGCCATTTGGTTGGTTGATTTCTGACCAATTACAATACTCATTAAATGTATATCAATTTGATTGCTCTGTTTTACTTTTTCCAATCGAGAACAGCCTAAATAAGAGCACTAAATCCTTTCTGACATCTCGAAAACAACTAAATTTTTGAAAAAAAAATTGAAAAAAGCCACGGTAGGTATTTCTCAGGAGATTTGGTGCTCTAACCAGGAGAGCAGGAGATTGATGAAAAACTTGGAGACTCCTGCGAAAACCGGGAGAGTTGGGAGGTATGAAGGTGTTCAAATGCCAGAGTTTCTCATCAGAATTTGAACTCCGAAAGTTCCAAATCCTAAAATCTATAAACGAAATCTGATAGTAGAATGGAAATAACCATGCAGTGAAGGATCTGTTCATACAACACGGATTCAAAAAATTAAAAACTTGTTGACGCACTTCTCTGCAGTCAGCACGAAGTTCTCATCTTCAAATTATACCGAAAATATCAGTGCAGGCTACTCTTTAGCAAAAAAATTGACAAAAAGCCACAAAAACACTAACAATGACAAAGAACGTTCCTTTAAAAGAACTCAAAATGGATGTTGAACATAGCACTCAATGTTGAGTACCGTGTTCAGTAAGCACACCAAACTTACATTCTTACTTCGCAAGACTTCTCGTGATTACAAAATGGACAGTTGAACTGCTTTTCCAGTGGATCCTGTCTTCTCTTAGGAGCTGGCTTTCGCTTGGATCTCCTACGACCCATTTTAATTCTAAGATCACACAAACTACCTTACTGTTTCCAACGTCTTTCCAACACGTTGTGTCAACTTGGTAACCTGCCCGTCTTCGAAGGAGCGTTCATGGTTGATATAAAACAATTTTTGTGTCCCACAAATTTTGTGAAAAAGATGCTTACGCAAATGATCCTCTTGTTCTTTACAGAATATTTTTAGTTTTTTCCTTTTCTGCTTAAATTAAGATGCAGTTAACAATTGTCTTGTTTCCGTGCGTCAGAGATAACTTCGCATGAAAGCACCATAAGAGAATGAGTTCTTCTGTGTTTCTAACCGCCAAAGGTATTTGAATAAAGACCCGGGCCGGGTTGTTCAAAGCTGTGTTAAGATAACCCAGGGTNCAACTGGGCCCCGTACTAGAATCTCAAGTTACGTGTTTCTTTATAACTCGTCAGAAAGATATGGCGCGCCGAAGCGGACAAAAATACTTGTGTATGGTTGTTTTGTAAAATATACGACTTGTCGCCGAAATATAAACTTGTTTTGTAAAATACAAGACTTGTTGCGGAAATATGAGACTTGTTTTGAAAAATATAAGACTTGTTGCAGATAAGACTTGTTCGCGGTAGTTCGCGGTGAAAAATAATACTTTAAGGGCGCCCACTGTCTGTGGTCAGCTGCTTTGTAGCAGCGCGCATGCTGATTAGTTGCTTTTTTCGCGCCAAATTCCAATGACGAGTGCGATGATAAGTTGCTGGGTTGTTGCGTTGGGGTCGGGATGTGAGCTGAAAGAAGTGTTTTGTTATGCGACGCGATGATGGATTTCATGTTTGACCCCAACGCAACAACCCAGCAAGGAATGTAACTGCCGTACTAAAGAACAATGCCCCATTGAAGGAAAATGCCTTCAAACGAACGTTGTTTACCAAGCAATCGTAACAACCGACACAACAACAGAATCCTACGTCGGAGCACGGGCGGCCCAAGCTCTCTTTGAGAACCACACAAGGAACACAATTTGCATATTTACAAGGATTTGCATGGGATTTTCTACAAGATATCCATAGAGATATTTAATAGTGAAAATATTGAATAAAAATGGCTTACCTTATTCCATACGTGTGTTGTTTGCTCCTGGTGTCGTTATTTTACCGATTTCACTAGATTTAAGCGGTTTTGTTTTAATCCTGGTTCTCTAGAAAATACAAATCCTTATAAATATGCAAATTGTGTTCCTTGTGTGGTTCTCAAAGAGAGCTTGGGCCACCTGTGAATGAATTAGCATCCTCGTGCCCCCACAGGAATAGATATGTACTTAAAAACCTTTATTTAGCGCCCGCAAAAAAATAGAAAGCACCATAGCAACCATGTCTTTGAATTTAATTGCCAGCATTCAAATGTAACAGTCATTCGTTGATGTTGCCTGATGAGTGCACAGGGAGCCCACACAAGCGGCGTGTCTGGTCGTT